AGACTACCGTCCTACTCTCCAACTGCCTACCCGTTCAGTGCCTGAAGCTCCTATGTACTATCACGGGTGCCTCCTGACTCGGGCGAGCAGTCCAGGAGGCTGCTCTTGCCAATGATGCCGAAGCGAGGCAGGGGCTGCAGCTGCAGCTCCTGCTCGTGCTCCTGCTCGTGCTCTTGCCAATAATGCCGCAGGGAGGCAGGGGCTGCAGCTGCAGCTGCAGCTCCTGCTCGAGCTGGCGTGGGAACAGGCCAGAGATAGCTTGTTCCGAAACCCAGTTTTCGTGCCTGAATCTTAGGGCAGGTCGAAACAAATGAGGGCCTAAAAATAGCCCAGGGCCTAAGAATAGCCCTCCGTTTCAGGCTGGAAAAACTCTGGGTCTGAAAGACCCAGAAATAGGCTGAAACGGAGTAGGGCCTGCAGGCCCTCGTTTTTCAGTTTTCAGGCTGAAACGACCGGGGCCTGTAGATCCGAAGTTTTAGGCTTTTAGGCTGAATGTCCGGGACGGGTCCTACAGGGCCCATGTGGCTACGCAGTATGCCACAGGCGTACAGTTCCCAAGTTGACTTAATGCACTAGCAGCAGTAGCGCTTCTCCATACAGCCGCTGCACTGTAGCAGCTAAATATAGGGCTTGGCTTGGCTTGGCCTGCTTCAGACTGGTACCGGTCGGCCGCGGCCTGTCTGCTGCGAACATTTTGCCGGTCCGGTAGCCTCCGGACTTTCCTGGGATATGCTACAAAATTGGACTTGGGACTGTTGGACCGGACTGGACTCTTCTGGACTTTCCTTGTTGGGTACCGGATGGACTCCTACCGTCCTATGACGCTTTGGGTTCCGACACCTACCGACCTACGACGTTTCAGAACCCTAGACCCGACGGCCTACCATACTGGACTGCCCTGGGACTGGGGACTTGTCGGGACCCTGGGACCGAGACTTTGTGTCTGCTGTGTGAATCCTTTAGTTCAGACCTTGTGGAAGCTTATAGCCACTTGCCCTCCCTTGCGGTTTGGATTCATCTCTCTGGCCAGAGCTACTTGCCTTCCCTTGCGGTATTGGCTTCATCTTTCTGGTCAGGTACATCCCATGAAGTGTCATCCACCCTCTATTGCCTTTGTCATGTCCTGGGCTGTGGTTGGCATGTCTCCCAACATGTGCCATCCACCGTCTATCGTCTTTGTTACACCCTGGGCTGTATACCTGCTTGGCTCCCACTGTGGCAGTTGCCATCTCCTTGCTTTTATTTATCTGCTGAGTGAGATAGCAGCGGCCTCAGGTGAGTAGGCTCCTGTGGAAAATGCAGATTAGACTATTTATGGTGCGCTCTAGCACAGCGGACTGGCTCGCTTTGGTTGATTGAACAGTTATGGGACTCTATGAATGAATGAGGTGCAATTGATGCGACTGAGGCATCTTGGAAATGCGGTGTTGGGCATTTGGCAGGGTCATTGTCTTTGTAGAAATAAAATCATTTCTGTCCAGAAAGATTTTGGATTTGTCAGTACTTTACTCCCGGCGCACATCTGGTACACATGTGAATGGAGCTTGATTTAAGTCTGGACAGTGAATCACCACGTCACGAGTTGTTCTCAAGACCGTGGAGAGTTCTGAGGGAGAGTCTTAACTTTCTCAATACTGCCTTTGCATAACAGATGAGGAGATTTCTGAGGAGCACAAGATACATGAGAGAGACCAAGCTCGTGGCAAAGATTGAGAGCAGACAGGTGAGGACTCCTCCGTTGGGAAAGGATTGCCACTTGTATGGGCTTCTCTCTCTCTCTCTCTCTCTCTCTCTCTCTCTCTCTCTCTCTCTCTCTCTCTCTCTCTCTCTCTCTCTGTGTGTGTGTGTGTGTGTGCAGGGTGTGTGTGTGTCTCTTTGCGGTCTGTAAATGCCATTGCACTGTTCTTAATATCTTGGATGATTATTATTTGTTGAAGCTTTTCGGCTTTTTGGAGCTCATCTAAGGCAGGATGAGATCCGTTTAGTGCGTCCTGGCCGGACACTTGTAGCACCACACAAGAAGGAGAAGTGTTGTGGCACTATTAGTCGGTAGAGAAAATTGGGCAGATGAGTGTGAGGATGATGAGTTGTCTTTGCAGGGGGAAATGGACAATGACGTCCCTGAAGCTGCATGGGGGTGAAAGGAATAACCGAATGATGATTATGACGATGATTGGAACTCTGTGACACTGAGGGACTTGAAAAAAAAAAAAAAAAAAACTGGACCTCAGAGTTTGATTCTCATATTGCTGCATGGTGAGAGAAGCACCTGCGGAAGAGGATAAACTTTGTGTTTTTAGATGTGTTGATTTGAGTATTGGTGTACTTACTTTTGAAAGCAGACTCTATACAAATTGTTTTAGTTTTCAAATGCATGGCCCTGGTTGTTTAACATAGAGCGAATTTGAGAGTCAGCATTGATGGTGGGCTCCAAATGTTCGCTCCTCTTCATTGTGGGTTGAATCTTGGCAATCTGACCCCTTTTCTGTTTGCCTGGCAGGGATTGTGCAATTTTGATAGTATTCTGGAAGAAGCTGATGGCATTATGATGTCGAGAGGTGACTTGGGCCTGGCAGTTCCGTTAGAGAAGGTGCGAAATCTATCCCCCCTCTATTATGATTTCGTTCTCTTCAGCGGAGAGCAGAGCGTAGATGACAAGTCCCGAACTTGACCCCTTGATAGGGGAGCCGGACGAAGCTGCACAGAGCGAGCCGGTCTAGGTCCGACACGTCCTGAAAGGCCGGACAACCTGCATACAAAAGATTTTGAAAGGAAGAGAGAAATGAAGACTTATGGGGTAGGGATACATCCAAGCACCAGTGTGGCAATTGACACTTTAAGAATCCACCAAGAGTAAGAGCAGTGAACCGAGCAATGACAGGACTGCCCCAAATGTAGTTTATAATTTATGTGTTTGGCACTGTTTGATACAGAACGAGCCGGTCTAGGTCTGACTTGTGCCCGACAGGAACCAGCCGACAAGAAAGAGAAATGCCTGATTGGGTATTGTTCAGGCCTGGGATGAGCTTTCACCAATTAATTGGCCTGGGTTGTCTCTATCCCAAAGTGGGAACACAGAACAGTGCAGAGCGGGGCAGGAGTGGAGAGTTACAAAAGGTAATGGAAGAGGAGTCAAAAGCGGACAGGATCATGAAGACATTGAAGAGTTGTGTCCGAACCGGAGTGCATGCAGGTTGGAGATTATCTAGCTTGCCCAGTAGTGGAAAGTGGACAGGACAGGACCATGGAGAGTTGTGCAGTGTGGAAAATGTTCTAGCTTTCCCACTGCCTTCTTCCCCCGAGTACATTGACGTCGTACGGTCATTATACCTGTGTTTAGACTGAAAGCCCCAAATACACCTGTAACGACTGCATGATGTATTCGGGTGATAAGGGTAGTAACTCTGAGGCCAAGGAACATGAGATCCAGGCAAGCTACCTGTCAAAAGCAGTCCTGTCTAGCTTGCCTCAAACTGTGGCCAACAAGTTTGGTATCTTATGTATACCTGTGGACTAGATCAGTGTTTTGAGCTACCGAGTAGCCGGTCACATCAGACATCACCTATGCCCACATATGCATTGCCAAATTCCATAGGGTGAAGACCATAGAGGGTCCTACAAGCCATTAACCTTGTGTTTTAGCTCTCAGCCGTACGTAGGCCAAAGTATTAGATGCGTCTGAAAAGCTGGATGCCAAAGTTAACCTGTAGCTGGGATTGTAAGTGTTCGGAGCCTGTGTCTGGGTGACTCCCGTGCATGTGAGGGGAATGAGACAGCCGGCATAGTATTACATCGCAGGTCTGCCTTGAAGCTGTCGTTATGTGATACATTCTACGTTCAGTCAAGGTTCTGAATGCTCCTCTCAGACTACTTATAGCCCAGTGAGTCCTGAACTATGCCAATGAGCGTACCATGAAGTTGTCCCGACGTTAATCCTTGACATGCATGTGTTGGGTGAGTGGTGTTGGGTGATTGGTGTTTTTTTATTGTTGCAACAAGTGCCTCCTCTCAGCAAGTCTTTGCTGTGCAAGCTGCTCAGAATGTCCTTTGCTTCTGAGTTTTTGCATGTTGCGGACTCGAATTGAGGTGTCTACAAGTTGTCTGACAGCAGTGTATGTACAACGCCAAACTCTTCCTGCAGGTTGTGCAAGCACAGAAACATATTGTTCGCCGATGTAATCAAGTTGCAAAGCCGGTTACTGTGACGAGGGTCTTGGACAGTATGGTGAACGTTCCCCAACCAACTCGAGCTGAGGCGACAGATGTTGCGAATGCAGTACTGGATGGTATATATGTCTTTTACTCTTTAGCCGTTAATTTTCTCCCTAGTTTGTGCCCCTTGTGTATGGTTAACCTTGTCTTCCCTGACTGGGCCAACATCTGGGTGTCGCGGTGACAGAACAGCCACCTATGATCTTAGGCCTGTTGGCAGCCTGGGAGCAATTGAAATGGCATGTGATGAGAAAGTAAGTTCTTTTATTTGTCTGCCATAATCCTGTAGACGACTGTGGGTGCGAGTAAATGGTAGGTGATGGCTGCCTGAATGCTACCGTGTCAAATGGCTTGTTATCAACTGGCATTCGTTCTGATTCTTGTGACTGAGAATATTCTGCAAGCTGAACTGCCTTTCAGTGGTTCATGTGGTGCAGGTATTGTTTTAGACATGTTCTGAACGATGTCGTAGTTCAAACTACATCCACCACAAAGAAGTCAAAATCGGCGCACTTAACAGCCATTTGCTCTAACCAGTGCGCTACTAGAGACCTTTTATTGTCGTGTGTGACATTGAATGACAACAAGGACTTGAGGGTGTTATGACAGCTGAGGGCGTAGTGTGTAGTGCATGATGGGGCCACCATTGGGCTGGCTGTATGGAGCACCATTGGGCTGGCTGTATGGGGAGCAGTGACAGTACTGGTGGGGGTGCCAGTTGGACTATGAAGGTTGGGTGGCTATGCTTGCCGATTGTCACCACACTCCTCGGCAAGAATAGAGCTCTCTCTCTCTCTCTCTCTCTCTCTCTCTCTCTCTCTCTCTCTCTCTCTCTCTCTCGGCTGTATGGGGAGCAGCGACAGTACTGGTGGGGGTGCCAGTTGGACTATGAAGGTTGGGTGGCTACGCTTGCCGATTGTCACCACACTCCTCGGCAAGCATAGAGCTCTCTCTCTCTCTCTCTCTATCTCTCTCTCTCTCTCTCTCTCTCTCTCTCTCTGGGCCTGGGTGGAATTCCGTTGTCGGAAAAAAAAAAAAAAAAAACCATGGGCAGGTGCTGCTGTGTCTTTCAATTGTCCAGGCAGGGTGCAGAAGTAGCAGAAAGGTCTCTGACCATACGTTATTTTTCAGCCCTACCACGTATGGTCCAACAAAGGATTTTCAGCAAAATATGTACCGAGATGTCCCTGTAGTGGAAATTGCAGAAATATCCCTGACACCGATTTTGAGAATGAGCAGGAACAAAGAACAATGAATAGCAACGAGGATAAACATGAAAAGGGACATAAGTTTACCGTACTTATGTTTATAGTACAACTTGTGGGTTGCTGCAAAACCTCCGGTTTTTGCGCACGTAGTGAGAAGTGGGCATCATGTTCTATTGCCAGTTCTTGGCATAGTACCCTGCTGTACTTTTACGGCTGCTTTCATTTTGGGGAATATGGAAGGAACCCACCTGAATCTTGGATAACCAGTTACGGAGCGCATTTGATATCTGTCAAAGTGTTCACACAGCGTGTGCCCTTTGCTTCTCTTTGCTGGTTGCTTCCAACAGGTGCAGATGCCGTCCTTCTGGGGGCAGAAACTGTGCGTGGGTCTTTCCCCGTTGCAACTGTGAGAACGGTGTTATCAATCTGCAAGGAGGTATTTACTACACGGAGTTCCAACTGTGTCTGTCTCGCCTCACGACTGGCATCTGTTCTGACTTCAACATTAAAGTTTTTTTTAACTTTTTTCAAGTTATCCACTTGTGTGAATCAAGCATGTGGACCTATGTATATGGCCTGGAAGCTTGGTTCTATTCCTTCTAGAAATGCCAGGAACCACTGCTGAAGTGTTCATGCAAAGGCAGGATAAAACTCTCTCATTTTTGGATCTTTCCTGGTATGATGCCACTGCTGAAGTGCTCATGCAAAGGAGCATCAAACTTTCTCATTTTTGGATCTTTTCTGGTATGGTCACCAAAGCTCAGCCTATCCCTTTTCTGGTGTGGTCACCAAAGCTCAGCCTGTCCTTTTCTGAAGTTGTCACCAAAGTTCAGTCTATCCTTGATGGTTGTGTGAAGCATGAACCTCAGTGGTTGTATCACAGCTTGTATGTCCAGATTCATGTTGCCCCTCAGTGGTCGTATCACAGCATATTATGTCCAGATTCATGTTGCCCTGTCACAGGCATTGACAGACTTTGCCCCAAAGTTCGTTTTTTCCTTGGAGCAGGGGGGAGGGGGGGGGTGGAATGCAATGCTTAGTTATTTCCTTGCAGGGGGGGGGGGGGGGGGGGGGGGGGGGGGGGGGATGCAATACTCCCTTCTTTATGACGAGCAACCAGACTTGTCCTCGAGGTTGAGCTCGTTCCTTGCAGTGTTGTGAGGTGCTTTCTCTCGGGGAACACTAGTACTATTTTATGATGGCCTCACGGTAGTGGCATGCAATGAACTCAAGTCAATCACATGCTCGCTTGCGTGCCCTCGAAAGGGTGAAACTATTTTACGACAGCCACACAAACTTGGCAGCGAGCTTGAACTTGTTCCTTGCAGGGGTGGGGAACGCATCACTATTTTGTGATGGTTCCACAGTTATCGAGTACGACGAATCCACAGTTATCGAGTACGATGAATTCGAGTCAATCACATGCTTGCTCTCGAGGCAACTGACTTGCTCTCTGACAGCTGTTCCTAGAGAATCTGTGAAATTTAAATTGCTTCAACTTATCGTGGCGCACAACTGGCAAAAAAATGATCTCTGTAACTGCTTGGTCTGTACTTAGGCAGCACTTTGTGCTGATGCAAAAGGCTTGCAGTATACGGAAAAGTAGCCACGGAAGAGTGTTTGTAATTGCTTGCAACATCTCGGAATTGATGTCGGAGTGTATGCAGTGATAAACTCGTTACGTGGGTGTAGAAACTAGAACTCTAAAGAGAATGGTGTTAAGAGCTTGATTGGTGTCAAATCTGATCTTTGAGAATGAATCTCAGCTGTAGAGTCTTTGTTGTACTAATGGGATTAAAGTGTGTGATACCCTTGTCCTGTCTGCTGTTTTTCACCAATTTCAGGCAGAAACTGCATTCAATAAAGAAGTTTATGGGAAATACCTGATGAAGAGCTTCCCAAGCCCAGTTCCGCATGACCTGGCAGTGGCTGCATCAGCAGTGAGTCCCCCCCCCTCTCTCTCTCTCT